TGGCTTGCGTGTGTTCTGTTTTGAGGCATGTTATAAACTGTGAAGTTTCTTATTTTGAGCCCTTCTTCAACATTGAAGAAGGGCTCAACACTGTTTGGATGCTCCATGTGCTACTTGCTTTGAAATCCATGTGTTAGCCCATTTTGCATGCTAATTTAGCCCTATGTTTACCTGCTGTTTGGCCATGCTTTGAACTATAAAAATGCTTGTTTTGGGGTGCCATACTTCTGTCTTCATGCTTCATGTCCATATTGTGCATGCTTTGTACAGCTGTAAGCCATTTCACGTACCTAGTTTTGCATTTCGGGAGTGATTCCATGCATCGGGTGTCATTTCGCCTTGTTTCGGGGCTGTTTTCCCCCTCATTTAGCTACTGAAATTTGCATTGTTACATATCATATTCATGTTTTGCCATGTCTTGTTAGAGTGGCATTCCATGCCTTAGGGTCGGTCCTCAGTTCGCGTGCACGTGTGCATGCATTTCGAGGCGTCGCATTTTCATCTTATGGCCTCCTATGTGAGTGTGGCTGAGGTCCACTTGTATTGGTGTAAGCCCATCTTGCATTGTGTATGCCATGTTTCAAAGCATTGTGCATGTTATGTGGTTAGCATTGTGTATGCCATGTAGTTGCATAGCATGCTTGTATTCATGTTTGCATACCTAGGTTGCATTGCATTGGCATGCATGCCTTGCCTCTTGATCATGTGGTAGAGGTTGGGCTTTATGTGTTTGTTTGGTTTGCATGACATTTGAAATCAAAGCGCATACTTGGTTTCTTGACCATCACGCATCGAAATGCGCAATTGGTGGTCCGAGAATCAAGGAACATACCCCTTTGAGTCAAAAGCATGATAAGGGATTGTGTTGGTGCACACATTTGCTTGAATTTCATGCCATACACTGTCTGTCCTTTGTTGCTGTCAAAACTATCTTCTGCAGGAAGTTTCTGCCGACCGGCAACATTCAGTGCCGACCGGCCATTTATTCAGTGCCGATATCTTTATCTCCAGCCGATGGATATTGTACACGGCCGGTGCCATCCCTCCCAGCCGATGATGTTTTGCAATGCTCATAAAGGTTCTCTGGGACTTTGACAAGTTTTCAGAGAAGAAAAGGCAGTGAAACAGAGGCAGTAGTGCTATGGCAACGGGTTTCCGGCAAGTTGGATCGAACGTGCATTATTCACGCATCCCGAGGCGGGAGCCGTGGCCACCTTCCCTTTGCATTTAATTTGTTAATTAAATAGGAATTCTGATATAATTAATTAAGTAGTTAGTTATTTATTTGGACTGTAATATTTATTCGGGTCCTCTGAGTGAGGGCGTATTTGTAATAAGTGTGGGTGCGTGTGTGCATGTCTTCCAATCCCCACTTCTTTCTCCCTTTTACTTACCTGCTTTGATGGTTAGTATTAGGACATGTTTAATTTAGCATACCTTATGCTATGCATGCGTGCCCCCATTTCCATGGCCCATTTTGTTGAATTTGTTTTGCATGCACCGGGCTCGGTACATCATACTAACCGCATTCGTATTTTCAAATTCCAAAATTGAATACATGAATCAGTTGGTTGCATATCGTATGCCATATTTAGGTTAACCGAGCCTGACTAAAATTGCATCTTGTATGTGTTGCATTAGGCAATTTAAATGAACTAGGGACATGCATGTTTGCTAACTAGTTTATTGTTTTGGCACGGAGTACAATGTAAGTATTTATGCTTCAGCATCTCGCATGCGTGTGAATGTTAACATGACAGTATGCTTACCATGCGGCTAAGTGCTTATATGAGATAAACTGTTTGAATGCCTGTGGGTGGAGGTTGGATTGCTTGAGTTGGAAAAACTCGTTGAAATCCGTGTTTTAGCCTACTTACGAGTAGCAAATCCCGAAACCTTTTCAAAACAAACGGTTATGCAATGCTTGTTTCCAAAATTAGGCAATCTAGTCTATACTTGTTTGCTGTGCGCATAACATAGTAATTCTAGGCTAATAACCGGAATAAGAACACATAATGTTTTCAAAAACGGATATCACGATTAGTAGAGGCCGATCTTCGGGTCGGGCGAGAGGGGGTGCTCATAGCTGACCTTCCCCAATCATACCCTAGCTCCCGAGCTGAGACAACTCCGGTGATGACGGACATGTGGCCTTCGGTACCGAGTCAGGGTTTCCTAAATTCTCCCATTTTAAAATATTTAGGTGGCGACTCTGTATCTGGCAAAGCAGTCCATGTTTGGCACTTCTTTCAAAAATCTGTTTTCTCAAAACGATTTGCCGGATTTGGACTCTTTGGTTCAGATTTAGAACCGTGACAAATTGAGAGTCCTGAGCTGTAGTGACCCCAAATGAACAGAACGGGACAACACCTTCCCGGGAGCATTCGGGGGCGTCTACAATGAGTTGATTCCGCAGAGACACTTTGAGTTGAAAAATGAATCTTTCTTGCACTTTCTCGAGAACCAAGGACACAAAATAGCATAAAAACACACAAAGAGAACACTGGACACCTGCCAGCCACCCTGAAGCCAGGTCGGCCACTTGCCAATGTTGTCAGCCACCTAAGTGGCCGGTCGGCCAGTTATGGTAATTATGCACTATTTCGGTCTTTTTGCTTGGAGATCTTTAAATACACATTTCCAACTCACATTTCCTCACACCCACAGTGTCAAAATTGTCTCTTCTTCATCGCTAGATACTTTTCCCTCATAGATCCGTGCTTTACACGCGTTTTCCAACGCCCCTCACGAAGTTGATTCGCTAAAACCTTTCGATTTCCTCCGTTTTGAACCAGTCAAAATTTGTTTTCGAAGGTTTTTTCTCCATTCTAGCCACTTGAGGTTTGTTTCCCTCAAGTTTGTCTTGAGTTTGACGCCTTTCCCTGGCTTTGACTTTTTCTCCCATTTTCTCTCTCTGAGAGTTGACTTTTGTTGGTTTTTGGCATTTTCCTCATATTTTGCTCATTTTCGCCTACTTTCTCACCTTCTTTCTAGATGGTAGACGACGTTCCCCACGGCGGAGGTTCTCCAGGGATGGAGGGAGAGCCGGAGTACATACCATTGCTACCTAGAGTGCGACCTTTCGATCCAGGGAGGTACCACCCCGAGGCCCATGCATGACCACCCAGTACAGTCCGTCACTTCAGTAGATTTGCATGTGGCGCACCAGCAAATCTTCTATTGCGAGAGCCCGAGTCTCACCTGTCTCATGATGCCTCCAAGGTATGCACTGCATTCTTACATTTTTGGCGATGTACGTTACATTTCTTGCATAGCTTGCACTTTTGCACTGTATTTCATCTGCTCATCCTGAACACATTCACACACTGTATTTCTTCTGCTCATTCTGAACACAGGTAGATTCCTGTTTTACTCGCGGATATGGGTCCACCGCAGCGAGGGAGTGGTACATGGACCTCCCTGACGGTGTCCGGCAGATCATCGATGAGGCAAGGTTCGGTTTGTTCTGCATGGGGCTGTCGCACCTCATGGCGAGCAGGACCCTTTTGGGTGCACTGGTAGAAAGATGGTGGGATACCACCAACTCTTTCCATTTCTCTACCACCGGGGATATAACGATGACCCCATATGATTTCGCCATGTTGACGGGCCTCGAGGTAGGGGGCCGGCTGATCCCATATGACTTCGATATGGGTGAGTGGGAGGCCGCCTGGACCTACTTGCTGGGAGCACTACCTACAGAGGGACAGGCCCAGCGACTGTAGAGGGGACTGAGCAGTATGCCCGAGGTTTCCTGATGTTCCTCTTCGACACTACCTTGTTCGCCGATAGAGCAAACACAATCGGGCTATATCTTTTGAGCGCCTTAGTGGACTTATCTCTGGTTCGGCATTATGATTGGGGCGACACCGGCCTCGCTACCCTATACTGCTACATGAGCTCGACTTCCTGTAGGAGCGGGAATAGAGTTGGCGGCTATTGGAGAGCCTGGGAGGTATGCTTTACTTTTCTGTTTTACATTCTCTATCATGTTTTCTGCTTTGCACTTTCTGTACACTGCACACACCGTACACTGCACACACATAGTCTAATCTTTTCTCTACACTTGTACTTTCTATACACTGTGCTGCACACCTTGCTTTCTACATTCTCTATGTATTATGTATTCTCTGCATTCTGCATTCTCTGGACATTACACACATACTCCGCTTTCCGTATTATCTGTGTTTATCTGTATTCTCACTATCGCCCTCTTGCTTTTTACAGCTATGGGTGTACGCCTATTTCCCGACCCTTGCTCCAGAGCCAGAGGTCAAGACACCTTTTGAGGTGCCATACTTGCATTTATACGACTGTCGGTGCTAGCTAAGGACCCGGGAGACCCTCTTATTCCTTCACCAGTAATTTGATATAATGAGGGCAGTAAAAGTAACTCAAAACTCACAGTTCTTTCTGCTTTCAGCTTCAATTCATTTTACATATCTAATGCCAACTTATCAGTCTACGCATTACTCACTGCAGATCACATGGCAGCCCTGGGCGACGATGCCAGAGGGTGCCATATACTAGTTTGCTGGAGCTTGGGGCGCTTCTCGGTATCAGCTCGTGCTCGAGGGACCAGTAGGACGAGCCTGGTTCCTAGGCGAGCACTTCATGCGCCAGACGCTGGGTCTACTATTATAGTCGGTTCCCTTGCCACCTCCGCCTTCCATGCAAGCCATAGAGAGTCTCTCCCCTCAAGAGATCATTAACTTCATGCGGGGCACTGATGTAGACCTGTTCATTGGGGAGGAGGACTATACGACTTATCTCCAGACGTACCTCATGCCTCCGTTGACAGGTGTTCGTGATTTCACAGGGAGGGAAACTGATGTCCCTTCGTCGAGCAGGGCCCGAGCCGCAGATACCCCATCGACGAGCAGGGCCCGAGCACCGAGAGACAGGGCTAGAGGGATACCCCATGCCAGGCAGAGTTTTGGATGGCCAGATCTTCCGACTGAGCTGACAGGTTGGCGATACTCCAAAGTGCCATATCAGATCCCTATTGAGCCTCTATTGTTTGGTCATCGATATGTCAGGACACCCGATTCACCACCGGTATATACTTACAGTTTTTCATTTATCGCTCAGATACTCAGACATTCATTCCAGACACTAATCATTTTGACTCACATTTGTAGCCCTCCATAGGGTACGTCGAGGGATTACTCGAGATGTTGGCCTCATTCGAGGGGATGATCATGAAGCAGGAGTCGATCATCAGCTCCCACGGTATTCAGGTAATTCTCCAGTTTTCTCGCATCCCGCTCACCATATTTCTGCTGATATACTGAAACTAACATCTCAACTGCACACTATACACACACACTGCACTGATACATTGCATGTATAGCTCACATCTGACGCATTGCATTCACATACCATATCTGACTTCTGCATGTACTCACTCTGCACACCACACTTGTATCTGATACACATACCATGGCTGATATATTCAAACTGCCGCTGATATATTCAAACTGCCTTTTCAAGTCACACCTCTACAGACAGGAACATCAGTGCCCCCTCCAGCAGCAGGGAGAGAGAGAGAGAGATTCTAGTACGCGGACGGGGGAGGCATCGGGAGCCCATCGTGCGTGATGACGATGATGAGACTAGCGATGCCGAGACCGAGGAGGCCGGGGATCAGCACACCGAGTCATCCGAGAGCCGAGATGATGATGCCGGCTCAGGTTCCACTAGTGGAGACGAGGCTGAGCCCGATTCAGATGCAGAGGATGACGACTCTGATTCTAGTTCCGCATCAGATTCAGACAGTGGCACAGATGGAGATAGCTCTGCAGAGTCCGCTCCGCCGAGGAAGAGGACGAAGAGGGCCTCTAGAGCTTGAGATAGCCAGTGCTGATTCATGATGTTAATTTCTTTTTACTAGCAGTGTTAGCACATTGTATAGCCTTAGGCAGTTTTATTTTCTTGAAAACTTGTACTCTTTGTAGAAAGGAAACCATGATTGGAATACAACAGCTTTTTTGATGAAAACGTGTTGCATTTTATATTCTGAGCATCGCATTGCACCATTTTACACAAAAACGGGATTGATGGAAATTGAATATTGTACATTTTCTTGACAATTGCTTAGTCAGGCAGTGAACCGACCAAAACATAACAAACAGAGTAAAACAACTCAAATAAAAAAACTAACACAACAATTCGACACACAACAACTCGATAAACAAGACAAATGCTACTCGATAAGTAACAACAAAACAACTCGATAAACAAATTGCAACAACTCGATAGACAAATTGCGACAACTCGATAAACAAATTGAAACAATCTTCAGAATGGCTCAACAAAACCACAGTAGAATGCATCCATAATAGAACAAAACATAGGTTCTCAACATTCTCAACACAGAGGAAGACCAAAGGCATTCTGCTGGAGACAAACAGTGGCTGCCAGCCACTTAGTGGTGATTGTCGGCCACTAAAGTGGCCTGTCGACCACAAAAGGTGGCTGGTTGGCTACCTTAACTGGCCAGTCGGCCAGTGATGAAGGGAGTCTCCAGATTGTTGCCACCTGTCTTCCACTCAGTGCCTTATCTTCTACAAAAGTTAGGACTTCATAGTTTCTTCATTCTATCTCTGTTTTTGCCACAAATGGAGCCATTCTTCAACCAAAAACTCTCATCTTGGATTGAAACTTTAGATGGCTCGGAGAAAGTGAATTTCTAGGGTTTCGGGATAAATGCACTATTCTTGCTAAAATGTACTCCACTGTGTTTTCCGTTCCTTCATGCCGTAGCTAGATGTTGGAAACCGGTTACTCATGTGTTTAGCTTCGGGGGGCAAGAGATGTGTCCTACAATTGAAGAGTTCCAAGCTTTGATGGAATCCCGGCGTGACGAGGAAATCTTGCCCCAGTCCTGTTTTGGCCATTGTAGACGTCCCCGAACGTCCCGGGAAAATCCCGTTTTGTTCATTGGGCTCACTATAGTTCGGACTCAATGTCACGGTCCTGTATCTAATCTCGCGGAGTGCAATGCAAGACCGATGAATCATCAAAGAGTCCAAATCCGGCAAATCGTTTTGAAAAACTAATTTTTTAGAAAGAAGTGCCAAACATGATTTTTTATTTTGGGGGAATTTAGGAAACCCTGACTCGTGCCTAAGGCCACGTGTCCGTCATCACCAAAGTTGCCTCGGCTCGGGAACTTGGGTACAATTGGGGAAGGTCACTTCGTGAGCACCCCCGCTTGCCCGATCAAAGATTGGCCTCTACTATCCATGATATCGAGTTTTGAAAACATTATGTGCTCTTATTCTGGTTATTAGCCTAGAATTACTATGTAATGCACACGACATACAAGTATAGACTGGATCGTTTGAGTTGGAACAAAACATTTCATGTTTGTTTATTTGAAAGATGATTTGATGGTGCTACTCGCAAGTAGGCTAAGACATGGATTTGCCACCCTCAAGTGGGCTTAAGAAAACATGATTTTGCCACTCTCAGGTGGGCTTAAAACTCTTAATTGGTGAATTGTTCCAATTCAAATAACCCAACCTTCACCCACGGGCATTCAGGCAGTTATATCACATATGCAAATAACCTCATGGTAAGCATGCTATCATAGCAATCACTCACACGTATGCAAGGATGCTAAAGCATAAATACTTACCGAGTACTCTAAGCCAAAGAAAGAAGCTAATTAGAAATCATGCATGAATCCTAACTATGCTGAAATACCTAATGCAACACATGCAAAAATGCAACTAAGATAGGCTCGGCTATTCTAAAATGGCATATGAAATGCAAGAACTGATACACGTATTCAACTCGGAATTGAAATACAATGCGATTAGTATGATGCGCCAAGCCCGGTGCATGCAAGACAGGTAAATGGATGCAAACATGCGAGCATAAGCATGCTAATTGAAACATGCCCTAAACTAACCATCATAAGCTGGTAAATAAAAGGGAGAAAGACGTGGTGTTGGAAGGCATGCATCACACACACACGCACACTTATTACAACATTGCCCTCCTCGGAGGGTCTGAATGAATAGTACAGAATAAACTAGCTAATCTAAGCTAATGAATTATTACACAACATTAATTAATTAATGAATTAACTAAGTTAGTAAGGAAACTAGCATGCAAATTAAACAAAATGGACTGCCTCAGCTCTGTTCCGAATGATAGGGATGCATGCATGCTCAAGTTGCCTTCTCGGGAAATCCATCGCGATGCGCCGATTTTTCTCTGTTTGCAACTGGTCCCAGAATACTGTACAAAGCTCCAGAAGGCTGCTGACCAGTTTTTGCCGCTGGTTTCCAGTTTGCTGCATCAGAGCGGAGCCCCGTTGTTGTCGACATGCCATTGCCAAAACTTGGGATGGCTTCAGGTTGGCTGAGTTCGATTACAATTCGTCCCAGTAGCGGGGGCTCCTCCGGTATGAAGTTCCCGGCATACGATGTGGTTGGTGGCGAAGCCGACATTCTGTAGGCTAGATTAGCCACGGATCTCTGAAGATCGCCAATCATTCCCATCAACTCGAAAGTGGTGGGCTCACGGGTTTGAAATAACTGGGGTTCCCAGATCGGATGTGCGGCAGGTGACCTGGGTGGACGTTGCATTTCAACATCAGCCTCACCCTGCATGGTGATTCCCTGGCCCTGGCTCAATGCTACTGTCATGACCATAATTTCTTTGGGACTTTGCGTCATCACGAATCTGCTGAACTGAATAGAGGTGATGTGACTGGTGACTGGTGACTGGTGACTGACGGACCAGATGGACTGGACTGGTGACTGACAGATCTGATGGACCGGTGAGCCTTAACTAACCTCTTTCTGCCCTACCTCAGCGAAGGAAGATACTGACTGCTCTGAACTGAATCTCCGAGCTGAAAGAGAAAACAGGCAGCAGCTCAGCCCAATTTCACTAGGACAGATATAGGCATGGCTGGATAACTAGATTAAACCACTGATCACTGTTCCCCAAATTACTACCCAAAAACTGAATCTGATACCCGCAGATAACTGATTCCCAAAATACTGAGCTGGTGTCCGCAGGCCTGATGCCCAAACTTGCAAACTGATACATGGATTCCTGTAGAGACGCACTCTAAAAGCACATAAGAAGCAAGTGAGAGCCAAAACATCCCTATGTTGGGGTAGGGTTTCCCTGTCCTATTTTGTCAGGAGCTAGGGTTTCACTACGCACGCAGTGGTTTCAAACAACCTATGATCGGGTAAGTAACCTGTCCTAGCTTTGGAATGGTCACTATGGATTCCGAATATGCACTAGGTCGAATGGTCAAAAAGGGTGCCCCGGTAAAACCGAGGTTTGTGTTCCCGTCGTGGCAGAGCCCGCAACTGGTTAGCCTCATGGCACGCTTCTCGAAGTGAGCCTCTGGTAAACTGTTCAGGAATAGCATACGGCAAACATGGTGTCCTAGGCGCACCAATGCAAATGCAATGCAAAGAAACACACAAGTGTAGTCAAAACCAGATATCACGAGTTCGAGTCAAGTTCTCTAAGCCCCCAGCGGAGTCGCCAGAAACTGTAGACGTCCCCGAACGCCCCGGGAAGATGAATCCCCTGTTCAGTTCATTGTGGGCTCACTACAATTCAGGACTCAAAGTCACGGTCCTGTATCTAATCTCGCAGAGTGCAATGCAAGACCGATGAATCATCAAAGAGTCCAAATCCGGCAAATTGTTTTAGAAAAATAGATTTTTTAAAAGAAGTGCCAAACATCGACTGCTTTGCCAGATACAGAGTCGCCACCTAAATATTTTATTTTGGGAAATTTAGGAAACCCTGACTCATTGCCTAAGGCCACGTGTCCGTCAGCACCAAAGTTGCCTTGGCTCGGGAACTTGGTGACAATTGGGGAAGGTCACTTCGTGAGCACCCCCGCTCGCCCGATCAAAGATCGGCCTCTACTAACCATGATATCTAGTTTTGAAAATGTTATGTGCTCTTATTTCAGTTATTAGCCTAGATTTACTATGTGATGCGCACAGCATACAAATATAGACCGGATTGCCTGAATTGGAACAACACATCTCATGTTTGTTTTGAAAATGGTTTGCTACTCGCAAGTAGGCTAAAATGCGGATTTTGCCACCCTCGGGTGGGCTCAGAAAATATGGTTTTGCCACTATCTAGTGGGCTTAAAACTCACAGTCAATGCATTATTCCAATTTAGATAATCCAACCTTCACCCACAGGCATTCAGGCAGGTATATCACATAAGCCAATAGCCTCATGGTAAGCATGCTATCATGGCAGTCACTCACACGCATGCAAGGATGCTAAAGCATAAGTACTTACCGGGTGCTCCAAGCCAAAACAGAAGTTATGTTAGAAATCTTGCATGAATCCTAACTATGCTAAGTATGCCTAATGCAACACATGCAACTACAATAGGCTCGGCTATTCTAAGATGGCATATGAGATGCAACAATCGATACATGTATTCAACTTGGAATTGAAATACAATGCAGTTTGCATGATGCGCCGAGCCCGGTGCATGTAATACAGATGAATGAATGCAAACATGCGGACATATAGATGCTAATTGAAACATGCCCTAATCTAACCATCATAAGCTGGTAAATAAAAGGGAGAAAGACGTTGGGGTTGGAAGACATACATCACACGCGAGCACACTTATTACAGTTGTGCCCTCGCACAGAGTGTCCGAATAAAATAATATACAGTCCCAAATACTACAGTCCGAATAAATACAAAAATCCTAATTAATTTACAAATTTAACTAGGAAAGCTGTAAACTAGCATGCAAGCTAGGGACTGCCTCGACTCTGATGAATGATGTATGCTTGGGCTGCCTTGCGCGGAAATCCACTGGGATGCCCC